TAAAATGGTTCCGTTTAATACGGTGGTTAACATTATATTGTATAAATCTGTTTCGAATTCGAGCAGTCAATATTAACTATAATACATTAGTACCAACTGTACTTCGTATGCATGAATGTATATTTTGAATTTAGAAAATTTCAGTAGATTATCGAGTTGAATAGATGGTGACGATGCGAGGAACGATTAAAAGAATTTGTTTGCTCCACAAAATCATAATTTTTGAGCATTAATACAATGAATCGTACGACAACAAATAAACAGTATCAATCATTCTTTAAAATTGGGACCTCCATGAATATTCGAGCTATAACTTTTTTCTAATAAGGAAGTAGAAGCTACACAGAAAGAAACATGGCTGAGCTTTTAACTTCGCAAAAAAAAGGCTATAAAAGATTAATTTTAATAATTCACACCTTAACAACTACCTTTAAAATGTAGTGAAACTGTAATTAAAATTTGAAAAGCAAATTTCATTGAATATATACTTTATAAGTTTCACCATTGAACATTTATTTAAAGTTTCATGGCAATAAAACCTGATTAGGCTATACTGCGCTAAATTTATACGACATAAGTAAAGAAACCACGCCATGTTATAAACTATTATAACGCAAGCACTTTATTTCAATTTAAAATACAATTAATATACACACTGACAAAAACATTCCACCGTGAAATCTGACGAAATTACTTTTGTATGCTTTTGCTAAATTCCGATTGATTAAAAAAAAGGAGTATGTTTTGATTGCTTGACGATTGAAATGACAAATAGTTTTCTATAACAAATTTTTCTGTATTTAAGAATTACCAACAAAACGTCAGGTGCCTGCAAAATATATTTGTTCTTCAAAATTGCCTAAAATATTGGCTGTGGCTAAAATATTCATGTAAATTGAATATAACATCTTAAATAATATTTAAGATTGCAAATCACTTTTGAAATCTAGTTATGTATCTATTTAACTAGTCTAACTTTTCATATTGGAAAAGCAGAAAAAAAAATATTACTTCAAAACAAAATTAGACCCTGTTTATTTCGCAAAATAAGGAAATTCGCAGTATATTTAATTATGATCAAGATTTATAAAATTAAAAAGCGATTACTTGCTATTAAAACTAATTGGTACTAAGTATTAAATGTAACATATAATTAGGTAAAGAAATTTATTTCCAACAGAGGAATAAATATTATCTTTAACAATCCACAAATAGGTAGACGGAAAAAAAGGTCCCGGTAAAAAGGGTACGGAAAAAAGGGTCCCTAGAAAAAAAGGTCCCGGTAAAAAAGGTACCTCCATAGGGAAAATCTGTAGGGATATTTCCCCTCTCGCTTTCCGGGCAGCTTGAATGCTTCTCGCTGTTTCAAGGAATATTCTTTTTATCTGTAATAATTCAGATTAGATAATTGAGGTAAGGAGAAGATTAAGGGGGAGGACTTATGGGCTGGTTGTATTACGCTTTTTTTTTTTAAATTTCATTTCATTTATTTATTCTTCTTTGATTATTTTTTAAAGCGGGAAGATACTATTTAAATTTTTCAATAATGTTTTACTTTTTTCTTGTAATTTTTTAAAGTGAAAAATGTGTTATTTTCTATCTTAAATTATATTGTTGGATAAAAGACCGTCAATGCATAAACCGATGCCCAAACATGCCATTGGTTAACTGAAACGGTTCTGTGCTATGTTATCAATTGTAACTTATTACAAAATACAAAAAAGCGAAAAGTGAAAGAAAATAACAAGCAAATACCTGTCAAAAAATTTCTATTAGAAGCGTTATAAGCGAAGCACATTAATTTTACTCCCCCCCCCTTAAAGTTTCATGTAGCCTGATAACACTTTTTCAATAGAGTCAAGATTCCCGGTAGAATCATGATCTTAGAAAATAAATAAACAATTTTATTGATTTCATATCTAATTAACTTTTTAAGAATAAATGCATAAATAAGAAACAAAAGTTGGATAAAAAGCACTTTGAAACGCACGACACAAAAAAAGAAAAAAAAACATGCACGGAACAGCAAACAGCGCTTCTAATCTTCTCATTTCAAATATTTTCCACTACAGAATTTTCCCTACACAGGTACCTTTTTTACCGGGACCTTTTTTTCCAGGGACCTTTTTTTTCCGGGACCTTTCTTTCCGTACCATTTTTTCCGGTACCTTTTTTTCCCAGAATCCACAAATATAGGAGTCGAACCATTTTTATAAACAAGCGTTTAATCAACCACTTTTATAACAGAAAATTTAAAAACGCTTTCTAAAAAGCAAAAAAAAATAATTGGCTCAAATTTTATAATTTTTTTTCTTTCAAAATTGGCTTTATTTTTTCTTATTCTATTTTTCTCCATTCTGTAATTTCTAAAATTCCTTCGTGCATAAAGACTTAAAAATTACATACATCTTCAAGTTTTAATTTTATGTAACATTAAAGTAATTTGAACAACATAAATTAGCTTTCTTTTTTATAAAAATTTAAAAAAAAAAGCTTGTTTCAACAAGCTTGTTGTTCGTTATATGAAGCAAAAACGAAAGAAATTTACAGACTAAATGAAGGTATGATTGATTTTTATGAAATTTTAAGCACTAGTCATTTGTACATTATTTTGAAGTCATGTATAATGTGATAAATAACAATAAAACATAATAAATAAATAAGAAAAACAACAAAAAGTAAAATGATAAAAAGAAAGGAAAAATAATACAGGAAAGAATTATTTATAAATGTTTGAAAGAAGAAGCAAAGCAAACATTTTGTAAAAAATCATAACTCTCCGTGCGAAAAAGAATAAATGTTTCTATTGAAAAAAAAAATTCGATTTGGAAAAATACAAGCTCTTTAATTCTGGGATAAATCTCAACCAGGTAGAGGGTATGACATTGTTCCGCCATAACTATTAACTGAGCCAGCGATTTATCTATGCATTAATGCGCATCGAAGTATTTAAAAAAGAAATCGGAAAGAACAATATTGATTGTAAGTGAGACGTAAAAAACTGAGTTTATTTTGTTAATTGGTTTTAAATTTCATTTTTTCTTTATGTGTATGAAATTTTTTTATTTTTTTTGTCAATATGACTGATTTAAAAAGTCAGCGAACGAGTCATGGAAGTGGTGTCAGAGAGAAAGAAAACAACAAAAGATTTCCCTTCCTCAGAAAAGTCAAATGTTTTAATAATATAATTTGTACATTATTAGTTCCGGGTATTGCTTAACCATCGTATAACCCAGCTCTCATGTCACTTTTATTGGATTTTATTTACACTATTTTGAAATTTATAATTCCCAATATATTTAAACTTCTTAAACGTATACTTCCATGTTCTTAATGTTAGTCTCTCTTAGCTTAAACCCTGCAAGCTTTTTTTCTTCCCACTTCACTTAGACTCGTGAACCACATAAAAAGCCATTTATCAGGAGTTGATGGTAAGGTTGTCATGAAAAAGCAAAAATTTCAATTTTTATAATGTTGTGGTTAAACAATTTTGTTAAGTTAATTCTGGAAAATAAAAATTAGTTAATTCAGAAGAAAAAAATACAAAACTGTATATTTTTGAAATAATTTAAATATTCTAAAAGTATAGAAGAAAAATGGGAGAGAGATAGTGTTTTTCTCCAAAGTTTATGTAATTTACTGACGTTCACTGTGGTTAATGTGTGGCGAAATTAGAGTCTCCGTTTTTATCATAATGCATCTTTTTTTTTTTTTCTTTTGCACTATTAATGAAAGAAAATTTTTTATTTGTTTTGTTTCATCTCCTCATTTTAATTTTATTTTACCTTAAAATTACGTTTTCTACTAAAACTCAAAAATGGAGCTTTATAATTTTTTAATAATTACGCAAAGATTGAAAAGTTAAAATTAATAATTAGAATAAGAGGGAAAAGAAACTAAGACTTTCTCAGACCTCGATTTGGAAATCACTTTAGATAAATTCCACTAAAAAAAATTATAATGCACTTCACTTTACTTCATATTCATTTTTCTTTCTTCGTATAATTAGAACCATTAAATTTAAAAGAATCCATGCCTAAAAATTTTTAAAAGATTCTAGATTCCTTTTTCAACTAATATTTCAATTTAAGGATTACTTCAATATAATTAAATTTAAGGAAGCAATACATTTTTATGCTATTACTAAGACTGATAAAAAATTTTATAAAATTCTGATAATTCTAAACATAAAAAACTTAGTATTGCGAAACTAATTATTAAAAATAATTATAAATGAATTAAAGAAACATTAAATTGTTTCAATGAACAGAAATTCAAAACAACAGTCGTATTCAATTTAATTAAATTTAAAGAAGAAAAACATCTTTATGCTATTTATAAGATTGATAAAAATTTTATAAAATTCCGATAATCCGAATTATAGAAACTTAAATATTACGAAACTTAAAAATAATTATAATTGAATAAAAGAAATATTAAATTGTTTGAATATGCATGGATTCAAAACAACAGTCGTATTAACAAAAATTAATAGCGCAATTTTTATTTTATGCTTAAACAAAAATTTGAGAAAAATACCTTTGAAACATAAATGCAATCAATGTCCATACTGAAGTAAAATATATAAAAACGTAATTTATGCAATAACAGTTGCCTTATCTATTCTGTTAAAACATTTCTAAGAATTAAAGAACAATTACAAATTCTAACATTATTAATTTTGTAGTTATATTTAGCATTGATTTTCACTCAATATTCTTCCAATAAATAATAGAAGTACTATTAAAAACCTTGCTTAGCTAAAAATGTGATTTTTTTTTTTTTGCACTAAGATTTAAATATAAAACAACAAAATATAAAATATCAATAACAAATGTGAATTCAGATTTGTAGATTCAGATATTGAATTCAAATGATCTCAGTAAAATGCATAAAATCTTAATATAACGCAAGCGAACATTTTAGAACAAGCTTGTAAACATGACAATTTTGACATGAGAGCCCCAGGAAAAAAAATTGGATATTTTAAACTATCTTACCTTCTCCATATCCTATTCCCATATTTTTATAATCCGAAATGCCAGTTCATCAGATATAGAACACACATATTTACATCTTTGATTCACACACAAACATTTATAGCGAATATTTGTACGATATAAAGTTCTTTTTCACGTTTGCTCAACAGTATTGATCGATGTAAACAACAAACGACAGCAGACACCGACTGCTTGGGTGAATCTGGCAACACAGAAATGCGCGCCATCTCATCGCGGTTGTCATGGTTACTCGAGGACGAATACATTGTCTTTTTCCGCATAGGGGTGCGGCCAGGTAAGAAGAATAGGTCTTTTCATCTTTTTTTTTCTTATTTATTTCATTTTACCTTTATAATGCTCCTATTATCATCCAAATGCCGTTCTTATTGTATAAAGTAGAGCGTCGTAAAAAGAAGGGGGGGAGGGGAATCCTTTTCTTACATTTTTGAATGAAGCTCACAAATTTCTTCTATTAATATATAAAAACATAAATATTTTAGACATTGTTACAAAGCAGCTTTACTTTCTATTTCAAGTCAATAATGAGTTCTAAATTTCTTTTTTCTTCCATACTACCATTTCCTTATTGAAATTTAAAAGAATTTTTATAACTATATCTGTCTCGTGAAAAAAAAAAAAGAAAATAGTGCTGAGCTAGTGTAATAGATGGAAATGTAAATTTGCAGAAACATTTAGTATAACAATTAACAGATAAATATTGTGAAAATTATGCATAACAATAAACATTTAAAGCAATTATTTCATTGTCAATTTCATTTTCTTAAAGCAGAGAATGCATGTCGTTTTTTTTATAATACATATAGCTTTAGTTGAAATAATCAAAACTAATTGGAAGTTTATCGGTCGATACAAAACCTTTAAACTTTATTTTACCCTTCACATTAATATCCATTATTTGCTACATTTTACAACTTCTTGAGAATATTAGCGCTTGACGTTAGCATCTGTTCTTTATTTTTTTATTTATTTATTTATTTATTGTGTGTGTGCGTTTGGAATCAACGCCACCACTGGAGTTATGGGGTTGCAACCCTAATTTACATTAGTTTGCTGTGAAGTTTATTACTTAGAAACTTGAAATTACGAGACATGTAAAAAAATGTACAGTGCACATGGAGTACAATTTAATAAAATAATTAAACTTTCAATCATTAATTCGAGTAAAAAATATCATGCGGGCCGCACTGCTGCTCGCAAAAATGCAACTACAAAATTGAAATTTGACGTGCTGAATGGCTCCTTCTTATTTATGAGCTTAACTCTTTTTTTTTCCTTCAAAATTTTAATTTGTTTGGAGATTATTGGTATTCTTTGTGCTTTTTCAATGTTTTCTCACTTTTTGTTTGTTTTAATAATCATTTATCCATTGTCATAAGAAAATTTATTTACCTTTTTCAAGATCTTAATTTCGTAAGCTCGTGTTTGAGTTAATGCCGAGTGTTACAAAAAAAGAGAGATTAAATGTTTGCCAGATAATCTTAACAATTATATGGAAATTTTTAGAAGTGTAAAAAAAAACTTGATTAATCGTTAACAAGTGAAATTATTTATTTATTGGTTTTTATTGTATCACTCCGTATTCTTAATTCGTTTACAGTTGGGCTTTTTTTTAAAAAAATCCAGATAATTGCTTACTTCGTTCTACCTGACATTTTAACAAATTGCAATTGCATAAAATTGCGTATAACTATATATCTTAGTAGCAATTTTTGTAATGGCATAACATAAGGCAATCGCTTTACGTGAAAGAAACTATGCTCGTATAACCTTACATATCACTTTTATTGTTGGTTATATATTATTTTACCTTATATATGCCAACAAGACAAATGTGAACCAACAACATTTGAGAAGATTATTCTTTTTAAAAGCATTTAAAAAGTACTAGTTCAGTACAGTGGACTTTTAACTATCCGAACACCAAGTGGAAGAAAAAGAATGTTTGAATTATCCAAAATTTGAATCAATAAAAGTTCGCATTGATTAAAAAATAACAATAAATACTATAACACTGAACTAAGCAGATATTTACCAAGGATTGAAATTCTCTTAAAGTTATTTTATTATAATGATGATTTATTTGTATAATATTAAAATAAGTTAAGAAATTTATAAACACGCATAAATGATGAGCCGGGGGCAATTAAATGATAAGCAATATTTTCAAATCGTTTGTTGTTTTGATGTTTTTTGTGAATTGTGATGATATCTAGTGGAAATTCCGGAAAGAATTTTTGTTGAAACAAGGATTCATCAAAGGTAAAGAGGTCACTTTTGAAAAAAGTGTGGCTTAAGACTGCATAACCTAAAGCCCTTTATGTATAAAATATTCGATTTCAAAATAAATGAATTGGCGAAAAAAGAATTTTAATGAGTTTAGAAGCTGTAAAATTTTCTGAATTTTTTTGGATCATACTTTGAAGGAACCAAAAGCTTGAGAAAAATTTCATATAAATCGAATTTTAATGTGAATAAAAATAAAAAAATTCTAGAGGAATTAATGCAGCGTCAAAATTTATAAACTATTTTAAACTACCCACGTTCGAATCAAGAATAGAGAAAATCATGATGTCATTTACTAAAACGTCTCTTTGCGACCCATAAAAAATAAGAGTACATATGCCGATATGTCTTTGCTACTATAAAAATTAAAAAACTCAGGAAAAAGTATGAATGCACTAAATGGTAGAAAAAATGTTGGACTCACTAATTTCTCATATTTAATAAATACCGTATGAGTACCTAATTTTTAGGATCATTTATAAAACAGATGAATGATATATGTTTACTCAAATTTGTTACCAATCACTATGAATCAAAAAAATAAATTTTTCTTTTAAAACAAATAAATAAATAATCTATATATATATAAAAATGAATGTGAGTTTGCCTGTCTGTATGTATGTCCTTTATAGACTCCTAAACCAAGCGGCCAAATGCTATGAAACTTGGCATACAGATAGATCAAAGCACGAGGAAGGTCACTGTCGACATTAGAACATCCTGCGAAAAGCCGTTCCAGAGGTATGAGTGAAAATCGAAATGGAATTTTCTGATTGGTTAAAAGTTAGCCATTGTTTTAAATTTTGCTATAAACGATTCAGGTCTCCCATATCTTGAAGATAACAACGGTGATATTTTCTATCTTATAACTCTATTCATTTAGAAAAGTAAATTAAAGTAAATTGCATATACTTTAATTTTTAATTCGCGNCTAAACCAAGCGGCCAAATGCTATGAAACTTGGCATACAGATAGATCAAAGCACGAAGAAGGTCACTGTCGACATTAGAACATCCTGCGAAAAGCCGTTCCAGAGGTATGAGCGAAAATCGAAATGGAATTTTCTGATTGGTTAAAAGTTAGCCATTGTTTTAAATTTTGCTATAAACGATTCAGTTTTCACATATCTTGAATATAACAACGGTGATATTTTCTATCTTATAACTCCACTCATTTAGAAAAGTAAATTACATATACTTCAGTATTTAATTATAATTCGCGCAAGTTTCTGTATGTCAGGTGAGCACAAGCAAAGTAAAATCAACGAGAATAGATTTCTTAAGATCTCACCCACTGTGGTGGTCCTGAAAGAGTGGATGCCACCTCTGGAGGACTGCTCATCGGGAAGACTGATTGAGGCAAAAGCAAATTTCATTCAAATTGCACGTTTTCCATAATTATTTACATTTAGTATGCATTTTTAGGTTAGCACAGTTAAATAAAGTTTTCACTGCTGTAACAGTTGTCATTTGAAGACTATTAGATTGTTTATTATTCGAATTCATTCATTTTATTTCTTTCATTTAAAAAAAAAGATTTTTGTTTTAAATTTTATAATTTTTATATTTCTCATTTATTTCATTTTTATTGCTCTTTTTATTATTTAAAATATATAAGTTAATTTTCGGTTTAGCAAATTTGTGACCACTGTCAACTTTTACATTTCTTTTTGTTTGTGAGAGAGAATATTTGCAAAAATATGCCACCTAACCGAATCGCTCTTAGTCAATCAACATCTCAAACGCGCAAAAAGAGAACTACCCGTGTTTCAGAAACATTGGAGCAACGGGAAAAAAGACTTGAAACTAATCAAGAACACAATGCTTTTGCCCTTTCCTTAGAAACGTCTGAGCAACAGGAAAGAAGACTATTAATAAAATATGTTTCATGGTCCGTGTGCATCACCATACATGTCTATTTGAAAATGCACTAACGATATCCTAGCTAGAGTATTAACTGCTTTGACTATCACTTTTTTTTCACCATTAAATAAAATTCTCATTTTAAATCATAATCGCAAATCTCATTTAAACACTTAAATAAATAAATTAAAATTCAAACTGAAAGCTTTGCAACATGCGTTGGGTACAGCTAGTAGTAAATAAATGAAGTCTTAAATTTCTCTAACAAATTTCAGTCGGCTAAGGTCGGGAGTATTTACGCATATTAAGTAATTATTTTCCATTAAAAATATTTCTTAGTATTTAAGTATAAAGCTTTGTTGATGTTATAGATTAGATCATCAGTTGTAAGCAATTTATATACATAACTTTTACATCCGTCGTTGAACAGCCGACCGTTTTTGGGTTTACGACTACTAATGTTCAACTGCGTAGCCTGGTAATTTTGAACCAAGCTAAAAGACGAAGAAACTCCTGGATCAGTACCCCCAGAGGTATGATTTGTAATGGGAACATGGAGGACTTTGTGACTCTACAGATTTAACGTGCACCAGTCACCATTTGCTACACAGGGAGTCTTCGACCGTCGGAAATCGATCTCTTGGACATGTGCCCAGGGCCCTACCAACCAAACTATACCGACCCCTATATACGTATATAGGAGCAAACAATACTTTAAAAAGGCTATATAAACTAGAAAATCAAAGAAGTCTTCAACGGTTGCTACATACATGGGCTTCTGACGCATACATTATCTCATAGAGTAAAGATAATAAATAAGAAAATTTTACAATACATTGCAGAATTGGGTGCTTCATCGCAGATAAATGTTGCAACACGAAACTCGTGATTCTTTCTTAAGTATAAATTTCATCCAATCATTTTAAGACAATTACATTCAGTCCACTGTTAGCCATTTTTTACTGCCTTAAATTTACGCAAAAAAAAGGAAGAGAAAAAAAATTCTGTAGTATAAGAAAAATTATCTAAATATTCCACGGTTAACTTTAATGAGGCTAGT